AACGGACTGGAGAAACATGAGCCAATGAGCAAGGGGTTTGCTCATCTTTCTCGAATGATGCGCTTCGTCAAATGCTCCAGTCTCGAGCGGCTTGCTCATGCTTCTCAAACGTTCCACTCCTGTTCGATTGGTTGCCAATCGGATCCTGTTTGTCACATTCTCGAGTCCGTCTCGAGCGAGCGGTCTTTTCTTGAAGTTCCGGTCCATGTTCGAGTGGTTGGCTTCTGTTTCTGCTCCTCAAATGCCCTAGTCCTCTTCTCCTCGCAAACTGTCGAGTGTTGTTCGAGCGGTTTGCTCCTTTCCTTTTTACACATTTTCCATCCAGTCCTCTTCACTTCTTCGACAACTCACTAATCTCTTTCGGTGGTGTTCATCTAGACTGTCAGCCTTTGGGTCTATTTCCACTGATCATAGTCAGCTGCTCCTCGTCGAGCTGTTCTTGTTACTAGCCCCTTTCAACTGCTGTGCTCCTCTCCACAGATCTCAAATCAAGCGAGACCAGCATCGATAGCTCCAAAATTGGCCAAAAACGCAGGCGCTCTCTAGACGCCGCTGGCTGCCCAGGTGCGGAAGCAACTCAAAGAGTCCTCTGCGAGGATCGACGGCCTCAGAGATCTCCACCGCGAGTGGCAAGGACATGGGGGGCAGGGGTACAGCGCGCATAGGACCTGAGAAATCGCCAGCAACAGGGCTATAACTGTTGCTGTAAACTACAGCGACAGCGCCGGTTAAGAAACAGACAGTTTTTCATTTTTGGTGAGGGAGGGCTCGATTTCTTATTTTTGAAGCGCACTTTAAAAAAAATCGGGATTTGAGCATACCATGGATTTCTTAACTCAAATTTCTTAATTTGAGAACCCCCCGAAATAAGAAATTGAGCTCCTGAATTTCTTATTTTGTTGGTTTTTTTCATATGACAAAGCCTTAACAACGCCCTTATTAAGCCCTTATAGAGCCTCTGGAGCCCTCCAAAGCTGTTATTAGGGCTTACTACAGCCGTTATTCAGCCTGTATTTGGCAAGCCCAGAACCCGCCAAAATAAGAAATTGAGCCCCTCAATTTCTTATTTTGGTGGTTTTTTCGATATGACAAAGTTTCAAAAACGCCCTTATCAAGCCCTTATGGAGCCTGTTATTAGGGCGTAATACAGCCCTTATGAAGCCCTTATTAGGCAAGCCCAGAACCCCCCCAAATAAGAAACTGAGCCCCTCAATTTCTTAACTTTCAGAAATCGAGCCCCTCAATTTCTTATTTTTGTGGTTTTTCAATATGACAAAGCTTTAACAACGCCCTTAGTCAGCCGTATACATCCTCTGGAGCCCTCGAAATTGAGGGGCTCGATGTCGTAAATTGTTGAAATTGAGAGGCTCAATTTCTTATTTTGGGGGGTTCTGGCCGATACGAAATCGAGTCCGTTAGTTTCTTGGTTCTCCTTTTTGCGCGAACAAAAATGGCAAAGACAAAATGAGAAGAGCAAAATAACGCCGCGGTCAGGGTACCTTGGATGTCTGATTTTCAATTTGTGCAGTTTTTCTAAAAAAAAGATTCGTTGCGCGAATTTCTTAAACAGAACGCGTCGAAATACGGGCCTGCGTTTTGAAGCTTTCTTTTTTCCATACTATAAGCGAACATGTTGCAGGAGTCATGCATCTATTTGTTTCTGTGCATAACATATGTTGTCTGATCTGTAATAGCGATGCACTCGGGAAGCGAAGCACTGTGATTATGTTA